AGTTAAAAATAGCCCAAACTTGGGAGATGGCGGAATCGCAGAACCAAAACCATCCATGGAACCAAACCCAAAATAGCCTAAACAATATAGCCACAAGATATAACAATGCGCAATACCTTCTACACGAGAATATGCAACTTAATAATAATCCCACTTGTTACAAGTGTGGTAATCGTGGACATTACCAAATCGCTTGCCCATTTAGACCAACATATAACAGTTCCTATGCAACATCCTACCAATCTACTAACCTAGTCGCTCCCGAGCAAAAAAAACGAGGGAAATAAAGAATACAGATGCATAAATGTGATGACAAATAAATCAGACAACAGCCAGAACCACCCATTTTGTGTAACCATAAAGATAAATAATATACCACTGGAAATAGATACGGGCTCAGCGGTATCCGTAATCGGAAAACAAACATATAATTTACTATTTCACCTTATTCCGCTTGATGAAACTAACATAATACTAAAACGGGACACGACATACAACCAATAGGACACTTCCCCGCAATAATAAAATACCATGACAGCACATACTCCGGTAAAATACTTGTAACAAATGACAACCGCACATCCATATTGGGAAGAGATATATTAAATACAATACCCAAAATCTTACATGATATCACATCCAAAAATCATGAAATAAAGCAGCTACAACAGAATTTTCCACGAAGATCTTCGGATACCCTTGTTAATTTTCCAAGCAAAATGGATATAAGACTTCTTCCCAACCGAGCATCAAATATGGTGGCCGACGCACTGTCTCGACTACCGCTCACCGAAATAGACCACCACGATGAAACAGGAATAAACCAAATGCAAACCGTAGCGACTCCGAACAAGCAGGCTCAACAATACGAGGGGGAACCCGCAAGACTATCGGAAACCCCTCCGTAGCAGGATTTAAGCGGGGAGGAGAGTAGAAGTATAATGAAACACCTTTTTTTTATTATCACATTCACCTTCTTCTTCCCCCCCCCCATTTTTTTAAAATATATATATATACGGTAATTTTTTTAATAAGTATTTTTTAGTTGGATTAAAGTCCGCCCTGACACCGCGGCACGGCAAGGCCGTTTATTTTGTTAGATGTTTTTACGTGTCTAAGTAAATGAACTTAGGATAAATACCGCTCTGATTCAGCGGTACGGTGTATGCCGTTATTATTTTTTAGTTATTGATTATGTGCTTAATTAAATTAACTTAGGATTAAAATCCACCCTGACACCGCGGTACGACAATACCGTTTATTTTTGATAGATGTTTTTTTTATGTGTCTAAGTAAATGAACTTAGGACTAAATACCGCTCTAATTCAGCGGTACAGCAAATGCCGTTCTTTCTTTTGGTTGTTAAAATAAATTTTAATAGGCCTGCAATCTGCCCTGATCCGGCGGTAGTAGAAGTTAAGCGGGGAGGAGTGTTGTGTTTTTAATTAGTTTATAATTTATCTTATCCTTAGTTTGTACGGTATTCGCTTATAAGTGATAGGCTTTTCTTATATTACCATTTATATTTTTCTTTGTTTGTACAATATTCGTTTATAAATGATGTGTTTTTCTTATACCCTACAATTTAAATTTTTCTTTATTTGTACTATATTCACTTATACCGAGCTTGTTTTGATTTCATTCTCAAAACTGGTTTTAGCCAGTTTTCGAGATGGACGAGGACATGAAATTTATATTGTTTGATTGTAAAAGGGGACTATATAAAGACCTCGAAAAATGAATTGTGGATGATTAAATAATTTATTATTTTTACTTCTATGTAACGATTAATTTATTCGATATTATTTTTAATGGATTTATTCACATTGTACTATTTAGTGGCGACTATACTTAACGAAATAAAATTTTATGATTCTAATTGCCTGTGCGTGAATATTTGGTGGGTTACTACATTCTGAGAGACCCTTGTCTGGACTTTGGTAACCACAACATGCCCGTTAAGTCTGATCCCCCAGTCCCCTTCTCCGACAAACCCGGCCCCACGAACTCCGTCGTTCTCTTCCACTTCCTGATGGTTGGACTGGATTGTCAAAATACAACAGGGATTAAATCTTGATATATTACGAAAAGCTAGTCCATTCAATCGATTTTAAGATGTCGTATTTTTGAGATAGGTTTATATTCTCCATATTGAATAAACGGTCCTCTTATTTGTGCTTGTAATATTTGGTATTGTTAACAAAATTTATAGTAATTTAAATATATATAGAAAAAATTCCAAAATTTATTTAAAAGTATGCAATGCTTCCATTCATTTCTTAAAGGATTATCTATTAATTAATCTTTTTTAATTCAAATTCTGAAATTAATTGGCTCAGATACATTTATACTCTCTGAATAAAATTTTGTCAAAAAGGATTTATAGGTATAGTATTTGTTAACCAATTGATGAGTCATACATAGTTCATTGATTTGAGTCAAATTCAAAATAAGAATAAAAACAGTTATTTTATAGTGTCCACGTTTATTGGAACGCTTTGTTTTTTTAGGTGCAAGTCGAGGCTTGCAAATATTAAATTTATATTTTACCTTAACAATGACATAAATCTCGTGAAAATCATGGTCGATTTTATTTCCTACCTTTCTAAGTTGTAATTTAATAACATTGGCGATTCTCATAACTTCAGTCAAATCTGAATTATTTTTTAAAGAATATTGCATAAAATTGTTGTGTAATTAGATAACCTAATAATATATTCCAGTGCAAAAAAATTGGCAGTAGTATTGAACCTAATAATGTCTCCACTTCACATTAATTATCTAGTTCGGCCAATTTGATATTTCTCAAAAGGCATTCAAAATAGGCTCCTCTAGATCCAATTGCGTAACTGTCGAAGGCACAATCTTGTCGGGCATGCTTTTGCAGTTTCTTATTTCCTATAGCACAAGAAGTCTCAGTAATAATTAAGCAAATCCTGTCTCTTTGGATAAGAGAAATTTCATAAACTCCTGAAATTTTACCTAATCATAGTTATTAGTAGAGATAAATTAAATATAATTATTTTGTGTTGATAAAATTTTCTTATATCCGTTAGGGTTTAAAAAAAATGTAAGAAAATATACTTTCAATTTTATTGGGATAAAATATTAATATGCGCAAGGAAAAATATTTAAATTAATTTTAACTTTTTGCTAATATTTAACCTATTTGAAGTAGAATACTTTGCAATTCATGAAAACTTTAAATTTTTACAAAAATTTTAGTAATATAGATAGGAGGATTTTCCCGCTGGTTACGTCCCTGCAACCTTTTTATTGCGTCACTTCTAATTAATAAACTTCAGATAAATTTTATTTAATTAATTTTGCTAAAAAAAAAAATTATACTAGAGGGCGATTCTTATAATTTTTGGGTAAAATCGGGTTTGGAAAATATGCCAGATGAACATAGTATATATATAAATATATCTTCATACCAAAACTTTTATAAGTTAATTGCATTAACATTTTAACCCCGTCAATTGCTTTACCCAGGTTAAATTATATTTTCACCCATTGGGGGGTAGGGGCAGGCAAAAATTCTGGAGGGGCAGTTACAAAAAAAATTAACACTAGAACGAATATTTAAGTTATTTGAACATGAAATTGAAATATACGATTTTATTTGAAAAATACCAGATATAAAAATATAGAATGATCAAATATGTTTATAAAATTAGATGGAAGATAAGAATTGACTAATAACTGAAAAGAAATAATTTGATTTAATGATTTTACAAATATGATTTAATAACGTTGACATAGTTTAATTGTGCTTGTATAATATGTTAGGAATTCAACTATTATATGTAATTTAGAAAATATTTAAAACTATATATTACAATTGGTATTATGTGAATGATTGAGCAATGTACCAACAAAAATAAAGCATTAACAATATAATTTTGGTTGAGATGTATTTTTAAATACCTTAAAAACATTTCCAAAGTTAATACTTTAAGTATGTTTTTTTCATGTTCTAGTAAAACCAAGTTAACATCTCTTATATAACTACTCGAACGTTTATCTGATTTAATAATTCTCTTTAATGGTGAAAAAGTTGATTAACAATAATGAGGTTGATCATAGAATATTTGAAAAACGTTTGGAATTGCATTTTTGTATGGGTATCGAAATTTGGCAAAATCTAATATAACACAATCTTCATAATTATCTAAACTTTATTTAAAATTGTTGGTTATTGGTAGTGCGCCAATTTTTACGCAACCGTTTAAATTTATTTTGGAAGTAGCGCTGCAATGGAAATTTTGTTTTGATATTTTTTTTAACTATTTACATGAACATTAAAATTAATAATTTATTTGAAACAAAATTTTACCAAATAAAGCTTAAGAATTTTATTAAATTATAATTATCGAATACAAGTAAATATAATACAACTGAATATCAAAATGTGATACTAAAAAGCTAATTATTCAAATAAAATTTTGTAATATTAATTGCAAATTTTGTCTTAAAATATTTCGCTTGTCGAACTGGGAGGAATATGGGGCATCATTTTGCAAGTTAGGTTTTTCGGTAGAATGGATTCAGTCTAGAACGATTAAATGATGAGATAATAGATGCTGCTAAATATTAGGAGGTAGTGTGATGTAAAACTGGTTACCCATATCTATCTATTAATAAATGTTTGATTCAACAACGGAGATTATAAAGCTAATATAGTTAGCACTGATTACATTATTTGCGATTCTTTGTCAAAAGTAAAAACCCTCTTTGGATTCTAGATCTTGGGTGCAAAACTATACTCTAGATCTATGAAGAAAGAAAGCTATGGCGTGAATACGAAGTTAAGTTTGTAGTTATGTTTGTGAAAAAGCGATAGGAAATCAACGCAGAAGAATATATGACAGATTTGTTCGATCAGCATCAGCTACAGCTTTAGTTTGGAGGGTGTAAGCGGATCTACACAAGAAAAACCTCAAGTTAGAAACTCATCACTCTTCCTTGGGATTTTGAATAAGCCTCAGGGAAATTGCTAACTGATTTCAAGGTACGAGCTGTAGTGTAATTATTTGGCATCTTAGAAATCCGCCTCCACACGTTTACAATGCAAGTGGCGGCCTTTTGAATAAACTGAAGATTAATAGAATGCTGAGTGGGGCCACTCTTAAGCAATATAAATTCCTTCATATGCAGGCATTAATCACCTTACACATATGCAAAAGATCCTAATACTCCTCCAGGCCTACTGAGCCTTATTTTTAATTCAAAGACTCTCTCAGCCATATAATCGTCACGTATTTTTCAATATCCTGTTATCCTAGATACTTACGAGCATTCTTTTATCAGTGCGATAGAACTTAAAATCATTCTGAACTTTGTTGCTTAGGGGACAGTGCTCATTTTTAAGAGGATTTATATTTAGATCTATGTTTTCATAGGGTTATATTATGCCACTTGCCTGGCTGACTTTGTCCGGTAGTCGCCTATTATTATATCACCTATACACCATGAGTGTTAATTGAGCCTGCATTGTTGATTGGTATCTTAGATCATTTTGTCTATTTCTAGACAAAAGAAGATTGGTCTAAACTAGCCAGCCTGTTGAATAATTCTAATGATGGAATTAATTTATCTCGAAGGTCTTTGCAGTGCAGAAATGGGGAGACTTGAGGAATTCACTGTACCTTAGAGCATTTAATGCATTAGTGAAGTCGATTTTGACGAGGACGTCATCCGAGGGAATAACCTCTAAGTAGGGTAATGAGAAGGGCAGTTTCGCATCTACCTTTAACGTTAATTCATAAAAGGTAGAGCCTTACATTGTGTGATATTGTAAAATGCATCCAACTCATTCCTAAATATAAAAATATTATATAATTTTACGATATATTATTTAAATAATATAAAAAAAATACCAATGTATTAAATTAATGATTAATTTATAAATATAATCATAGTAAAAATAAAATTTACTTATGCCATATGCCGATAATTATTAAATCAGCGTCAAAGAATTGCCAAAAAAAGTTTGGCGGCGATGGCGGCATTGCACAGGTCCAAATGTATATAAATATGGAAAAAAGTATATACAATAAGATTTATAGATTAAATAAATGATTTCTTAAATAACTATAGATATAATATATTATATTTATAATACATGGCATTAATATTATCATACAACTTTAATATGAACCAAATTTTCTTAATAAAAAGAGTAGAGTTTATCCCGAAACCCTACAATAAATGCGGGATTCTTTTGGTAGTGATTAGGAGAATGGTAATAACTGTTTATCTTTCCTTTCGATCTAGTATCCCTATAATGTGTGCGATCATAACCATCTTCGGCATTTTGACATATTATGGCTTCTTGATCATTTTTCCAATTCTCCCAAGGAGCATTTCCCATGTAGAGAGGAATGGGAGGCGATTCGCAAGAAGGCATGGATCCGAAATATTCCTTTTGACCGGTGTCTCGTTCAAAATGATCTATATGTGACGGATAATAGCTGGAATGATGGTAATGATAAATTTCGTCATCCTCCAATTCATTAGCTAAAAAAGAGAGAGGGTTTATGATTGCAGGATGGGTAAATTTAAGAATTTTAAGAGGTTCAGCCCCCCAAAGAGTCCAGATTCTTACGATTTTGTCAGTACCGCCTTTATTTTATACAAACAAAAAATAAATAAAATTTTGGATATATACCTTTATGTTACAATATAACTCGTTTTTCTTAAATTACAAAATAGAGGAAAATCAAAATTATTAATCAGGAATTATTTTAAATGCAGTCAAGGAATAAAACTCATAACTAGATTATAAAAAAATTAACAAATAAGAAAATATTGGCTAAATTTAATTTGAAATTTCCATAAAATGTTAGAATATTGTTATGTAATTAGGTCATATTTTTGTTATAAATGTTTCACAATCATGTTTGAGGATACATTTAGAGGATATTTTATAGTAAAAGGGACAGTAATTAAAAATCGCATATTATTATTAATTTAATTTATAAAATATAAATTATATATTACCACAATAAACGATATTTGCACTGAGGTCACAGTTAACTCTGACGTATTTATGCGAATTACAATGCCCGGGGTAGGAAAGAACAATTTTTGACAATCTTAGGTCCCACATTAACAGCTGAATTTGTTAAAAGAGTAGTTTAAAAAACATATTATATGATAATCAGTAGTACGGTTAATTAGTTGATTTTACACGACCACGACCCTGGTTTTTGGTCGAAAAAATGAACCAAAACCAAAGCAACCAAATTGGTCGACCAAATCCATCGACCCGACCAACTTATATTACTTTATTGTGAACTTAATGTTAATATTTTTCTCAATTATATTTTTATGCATAGAGGACGAATATTTCAATATTAACAGAAATATTCCTATTTATTATTTAATATTAGATTCCTTTTTTAAAAATGGTTCCTTTCATCGACCCGAGCACCGACCTGAGCACAACTTATATTATTTGATTGTGAACTGAATGTTAATATTTAGCTCAATTATATTTTTATGCATAGAGGACGAATATTTCAATATTAACAGAAATATTTATATTTATTATTTAATATTACATTTCTTTTTAAAAAATGGTTCCTTTCATCGACCCGAGCATGGACCAGAGCACCTACTCTAAACCATATTATATTATTGTGAATATTTTGCCCAATCATATTTTTATTCATAGAGGACGAAATATTAAAAGAAAAATAATCATATATTTACTATTGTTAATTTGCTTGGTCGAAACAGCTATTTATATAAATTAAAATATTTTCAGACTCAGAGGTAAAGGAGGTTGTTAGTAGTGCCTACAAATAGGTATAACTGAGATAGCGTTTTAATAAATTGCAATGGGCTCAGGCCAAAAAAATTGAATTTGCAGAGCTCCCTTGGGTAGAGTAAACATTTTTTTTTTATTCACAGTTAGTGCGAATTTGTGACGAAGTATACAAAAATGTAATTTTTATAATGAAAACTAAGAAAAAATAAATCTCATTTACTAGTCTTAAATCTTATTACATTCTAATTATAAATTAAAGCTTAATTATAAATTCTACAAAACAATTTAAATATTTGTTGAAATTGCGGTACTTTTGGTGGGAGTATATTTGACCTAACAATTTTATCTCTTCCAGACTATGTTAAATTCTCATATATAATTATTAGTTTATATTGAGTTTTGATATTCATTTATAATTATAGTGGGTCATTAAATTTCAACAAAATATAGACTAATCATAATCACTTGACAAACCACGATATTTTTTTTAACAAAACATTTTCTTTTTTTTAGGGATGTACCGATATTTTAAAATGGCTGTCCCTATCGTTGCAGGCTGACATCTGATAAATTGATCTTTTTTCTAAAAAGATATCTTTTGAATATTAATTTTATAATTATCGGGGATATCGGATCGGCTTCCAAAAAGATTTTATAAAGATAATTTGAAATATTAAAAAAAAATAAGTAGATCTATGTACAAAATATTAGCTAGATTTTCTGAAATTTTATTTAACTATAATTATTTAGCAATATAAATTATATATATTCAATTGTTCACCATAACAAATATAGTATTGTCTTATAAAATGGAGATATCTTATCTAACAAAATTCTGTATTTTTATATTTTAATATGCCCAGGTTAAAAATAGACCGGGAATATCACACGTCATTTTCCTCAAATATTAACCATAAAGATATGTAAAGAAAAAAACTTTAAATATTTTGAAAAATTTGCTTAGTTTATTTTTTAAAATAACACCGGTCTCCCGTATTTTTATATTGAAACAATCTATGTTTTATATGATTAGATTAGCTTCAGCTTAGTTATTCCATATAGATTAAATATCTTGCCATCCCAAGATGATAAGGCTAGGCATTGTTTGAGCGTGTTCGAGGACATCTGATTTCTTTTTTTCGTAACCGTATCTCCAGCTTGTGAGAAAACCTGTTCTCTAGGGAGTAGTTTGTTGCGCCAGAAAATTCCTCGCCATTTGAGAAAGGCATGGAAATCGTGTCTGGTTTCCTCTCCACCAATCTAAAATATTAACATTTTCTGAACAAACTGATTCCCCTAAATCACCTATTTCGCTCTCAAAAGCACTTCCGCTTAGATTTTTCTTTCTAGATGTCATAAAATAATTATTAGATATATCATTTAATTTATACTTTTTTAATTCCTGCATTATTGACACAGATGTCAGATTATTGGGATTTTTGTCATCATCAATAAAATTAGAAAATGTCTCACAAGTTGCAGAATAAGTTTTAAATAATTCTTTAAGATCATTAAAATAATCATTTTGCATATAAATATTTTTTAGGAATTAAGGATTTTTTTATCCTTGGGTCTAAAAAAGACCCAGCATAATTGGCGAAATTAGACATTTTCGCCAAATAGTCATCACATTTAATCAGCATTTTAGATGCTGCCTTATTTATTATTTCATTATTATTTTTTGTAGCTTTTATTAAATTTTCGCGAATAAAATTTAAAAATAATATTGCCATCCCCATAGTTGGCGATTGCGAACTTATTTCTTAAGTTATTTTATAAAAAGGGCACAAAAAATCTTCGAGATCTTTTAATAGTTGTCGTAAATCTCTATTTATAACGAACTTATTCTTGCCTAGTGATAAATCTCCTAACTCTACAATTGCTCGATATTCTGTATTAAATAAATAATGTATACAATGATATAAAATTTAATACTTTGTAAAAATAATACCTTATTTAGAGCAGCTATCATTAGATAAGTGCTGTTCCAGCGTATAGATACATCTAAAGATAATTTTGCTAAGTTATATTTTTGCTAAATTTTAATTTTAGTTAATTTAAAAAGACACTTAGGATCATCTGATCCTTCAGAAATATCTATTGTCAGTATCACAAACCCGGATGTGATGACGGGAATATTAAACCGTCAATTCGCGAAAATTTAAAATTAAATCATCTAATGATATCTTATATTATCAAATATATCTTTCAGAACAATAGAATACGAAAGATTTAAGGAAATGATTTATTATTGCAATAAAGGTTTTGAAATATGGACCAGGCAAACAATGAAAAAAATTTAGAAACAATATATGAATCAGCCAAAGAAATAATTATTAAAAAATTATATCATATCAAGAATTTTGCAGTCACTAAAGATTGCTGGTCCAATCTAAATTCAGTAACTTACTGTGCTATAACAATTCATTACATCAGTAGTTATTTGGACAATGATCAATATGCTACTTACAATTGTTTCGTTCCCACATCCCCATACGGGACAGGAAATCGATTTGTTATTAAATTGCTTAATGAATTTGAAATTACTTCAAAAATTTTATCAATTACTCATGATAACGCTAAAAATATTATTAGTGGTATTAATATCTTAAAAGAAGATTTAAAATTTTTATACAAAGGAAATCAAATCATCGTTGCTTAGCGCATGTTATAAATCTAATATTTCAAGAATGCCTGTTTATTATGATAAATTAGAGGTGATTCAGAGACTAATAAACAAGCTGCATACCTCTCCAAAATTAATGGAGGAGTACAGCAAGATTAGTGATGGTACAAAAATTCCATTAGAATCTACACGCTGGAACAGCACTTATCTAATGATAGCTGCTCTAAATAAGGTATTATTTTTACAAAGTATTAAATTTTATATCATTGTATACATTATTTATTTAATACAGAATATCGAGCAATTATAGAGTTAGGAGATTTATCACTAGGCAAGAATAAGTTCGTTATAAATAGAGATTTACGACAACTATTAAAAGATCTCGAAGATTTTTTGTGCCCTTTTTATAAAATAACTTGTGAAATAAGTTAGAATCGCCAACTATAGGGATGGCAATATTATTTTTAAATTTTATTCGCGAAAATTTAATAAAAGCTACAAAAAATAATAATGAAATAATAAATAAGGCAGCATCTAAAATGCTGATTAAATGTGATGACTATTTGGCGAAAATGTATAATTTCGCCAATTATGCCGGGTCTTTTTTAGACCCAAGGATAAAAAAATCCTTAATTCCTAAAAATATTTATATGCAAAATGATTATTTTAATGATCTTAAAGAATTATTTAAAATTATTCTGCAACTTGTGCGACAATTTCTAATTTTATTGATGATGACAAAAATCCCAATAATCTGACATCTGTATCCATTTTGCAGGAATTAAAAAAGTATATAATTAAATGATATATCTATAATTATTTTATGACATCTAGAAAGATAGATGCGGGAGTCCTTTTGAAAGCGAAATAGATGAATATCTAGGGGAGCCAGTTTGTCCGAAAAATATTAATATTTTAGTCAAGTTTGGTTTCATCGGAAGCCATCTCGCATTCCATTTTTTAAAAATCAATACCCAGATTGATGGGTGTTTATTCCCATCAGATTAGAAAAACGATGATTCCAACCTTCGCATTGATTAATTGCGTTCTTCGTCGGATAGAGTGCTCGTTCCAAGTTTCTGGAGGAAATCGAATCTCAATTCGACGTGTTTGGAATTGAGAATTGTTTCTTGTGACAAATTCTATAAATATGAAAAAAAAAATCTGGGGTATTTTTTCCTGGGGTATGTTTTCAGGGGTTTTTTTTCATATTACCAAATAAATATAATTATATTTATTTAAATATATTGTCGTTGTTATTTTAAATAAATTTTATATTCAAGTTTATGGTGTGCATGAGATCTATTTTTATGGGGACTAGGTATGGAATAACTAAGCTGAATCTAATCATATAAAATCTTAGATTGTTTCAATATAAAAATCTAATAAGGGAGACCGGGGTTATTTTAAAAAATAAACTAAGCAAATTTTTCAAAATATTTAAAAGTAGTTTTTTTCTTTACATATCTTTATGGTTAATATTTGAGGAAAATGACGTGTGATAACACTATCCCCGGTCTATTTGGAACCTGGGCATATTAATATAAAAATACAGAATTTTGTTAGATAAGATATCTCCATTTTATAAGACAATACTATATTTGTTATGGTGAACAATTGAATAATTTATATTGCTAAATAATTATAAATTTAGAAGAATTAAATAAAATTTCAGAAAATCTAGCTAGTATTTTGTACATAGATCTGCCCGTATTTTTTTAATATTTCAAATTATCTTTATAAAATCTTTTTGGAAGCCGATCCGATATCCCCGATATTAAATTGATATCAGTCGATCCGATATGATATCATATCTAATTTTGTCTTCTGCAAAGATACTAATGGTTTAAATTTTAATACACTTTTTATTAGTATAACATCTATAATTCAACTATACCATAACATATGTCATTTAAATATATTATAATGATCAGTATAGTCTATATTCAATTCAATTCTAAAAGTATATAAAATATTTTTATTGATAAATCTCTTATTTATATAATAATTAATAACATTAATCTTAATAAACAAATATATTGCAATTTGAAATAAATATTTATTAAATTAATATTTAAAAGATTTCTTTTTAGAAAAATGATAAATTTTCAATTTATCAGATGCCAGCCTGCATAATGGGGACCGCCATTTTAAAATATCGGTACATCCCTAAAAAAAAAGAAATAATTTGTTAAAAAAAATATCGTGGTTTGTCAAGTGATTATGATTAGTCTATATTTTGTTTATTTATTATTTAATGACCCCTACCTATAAATAAAAATGAATATCAAAACTCAAAATATAGTTGTTTAACTGTCAACTACTGATCCAACTCATCTAATGGGGTTAAGTCTTAGCCAATTTTTATAATTTTAGAGATCCCAAAAATTATTAAAAAAGATATGATACCCTCATTTTTTGATGATATATGAATTATAAATATCTAAAAATCGATAAATTCCTATAATAAATTTTTCCCGGCCTTAGAAGTTAATTATTTCTAATTCGATATCAATAATTAATAAGGAATTGAATTACTCGGTCTCTAATTTTTAATATAAATTATATGAAGAGAACATTTTTTTTAAAAAAGGAACATAATATTAAATAAATATGATTAATTTTCATGTTAATATTGAAATATTCGTCCTCTATACATAAAAATACGATTTGACAAAATATTCACAATAAACTAATATAATAAGTTTGTTTGGAGTAAGTGCTCCGGTCCATACTCGGGTCGATGAAAGGAACAATTTTTAAAAAGGAATCTAATATTAAATATGAATTTTCTATGCTAATATTGAAATATTAGTCCTCTATGCAAATATAATTCAGCAAAATATTCACATTCAATTCACAATAAAATAATATATGGTGCTCGGGTCGATGATCTGGTCGGTACTCTCAAAAAATTTTAAAATTAATGATTATGACACTTGTCATTTATTTAGTGTACATCTTCCCTGAAATTTTATTTAAACATGCTTGCTACATTTATTTTTGTCAATTTGCGTCAAAAAAAATCAAAAAAACTTTAAAAATAACGATTATGACAATTGTCACTTATCCAGGGTACATATTAACTGAAGTTTTATTTAAACATGTTTGCAATATTCATTTTTTTGCGACAAAAAACTTTAAAAATAGCGATTATGACAATTGTCAATTTTCTAGGGTACATCTTACTGATTGAACATGTTTACAATTAATTTTGCCCATTAACGTCAAAAAATCTAATATCTTAAAAATACAGATAAAATTATCATGTATTCAAGGAACATCTTCATTTAATTTATAATTTATGATCTTTATAATATAAATTTTATTTTTACCCTTTTGTGCCAAAAAATTTCAAAAATGTTAAAAAATAACAAATATTATGACAATTATCACATTAAAATATTATCCTTAAAAAGATCTTATAAATAACATAAAAAAGTTTGATATAAATATTTAAAAATAAATTATTTAGAAAAAACCACTTCTTTTAATATACTTAGACATGTGCGCCGACAGCATTATCGGCGGCGGCGTTTCTTTTTTTTAAATAATCGGCGCGGCGGCGTCAAACATTTTTCTACAAATTTTTTTTAATTAAAATTATAAATTCATTGGAAACACTTATAAAATAAAATGTATGCTTAATTATGTTTATAACTATAATTTAATGATTTTATTATATTAAAATTATCATATATATTATTTAGATTTATAGGACATAATAATGATCTTTTAGAGTTCAGAGTGAGCCCAGCTATGAAAAATACACGCTCGCTGGGTGTGCTCGTAGATGGAACGAACAAGACCTTTCTAGCTAGCTAATATTGAAAGCTTAGGAAGATCCAATGCTCTTATCTTTCAAAAATCTAAGAAATCTTTTATCTCTAAATTATAAGGCGAAAATAATGAATAACACTCATTTTCTAAACTAGTTAAATAGTCTTGTTGTTTCAGATCATTGTTATGAATAGATGAATGTTTCGTAACCAATTTTGAAGCAACTTCCGTCGTTTCACATTCGGTTAATTCGTCCATGTAAGGCCATAGAGAGGTAGCGTGTTGACATAAAAATTGCACCAGAGTAATATTTTTTTCCTTTAAATATTCATTTCATTTACTATGTTTATAGATTGAAAATGAGAATCCAAAAGTGCTCCTAACACTTAAGTAAAAAATAAAACAAAGAGAAATAATATTAAAAAAATAATTTATGTATTTTTAAATACTACCTAAAATCGGTTATTGGAAATTTATGATAAAATTTAGTAAGCATATTTTAAGGGATGCATGGGAGGATTATCATACTCTTTTAATTATAAGGATAAATTTATAATAACTCCTTTTTGAACGTATAAAAATTCAACAGTTTTTTTGAAGGTTCTAAGAAAATTTAAAAGTTTATGCACCAAATCCCAATCGGAGTTAAATAATTTGAGATCCGGTTTCTCCATTCTATTTAATAGAATATTATAGGATTTTTGTTATTGCCAGTCACACTTTCCAGCATTATTAAATACTATGCCAACGTGTAGGCACATTTAATTTTAAGGTTTTATGTTTTTTCTCATATGATTTTTGATTTTCACTATCATCATTAAACCCCAAACGATCTTTATAAAAAGGATCATTATCATCCAAATCTTAAATATCCGATGTATATGATATCGATTCAAAAAATTTTCTATTTTCGATATCGTTTATATTTCAAAATCCGCTGTTTTGAATCTTAAGACAACTATAACTTCTCTCACTTTATTAATGAGATTTTCTATTTTATTAACTTTTTTTATTCCATTGACTGTCACTAGATTATGTAATCCATGCCCTTAATAAATGCAGGTCATATTCTCCTAGACGAACACTTTTCTTTACATTGGGTCCTGCATCCGTAACCATTTGAATTTTCTTGGACCCTAAATCAAATTCATTTTTAACTTTTTCTATCTTGGAAAGAATAGTTTTAGCAGTATGTTTTTGAGTGACATGATGTGTCGCCAATGTATAAAATACAATATTAAAATTATTATCTATTTCGTGAAATGTAAAGGTAATATAATTTCGCCGTCTATATTTGTCGGTCCACATATCAAAAGTTATAGCACAAAATGTTGACATATATATGCTTTCATTGATAAATACACATCATCTAATCCCCTCCGGCTAAGTGTTGTTCTATCTGGTAAATCTTTTGTATCTGAAATAATGCCATATTTCTACATAATAAAAAGTTAATAATAAAAATATTATGCCATAAAAAATTCTAAATGTGATAAAATAATTAAATATCTTAACAGTTAAAATAATAAAATATATATTAATATCAATACCTTTTCTGTTTTACTATCCTAATCTTATCTTATCTAGCAAGTTGGTCACAGACCTGTCCAAAGTGAGCCAACGTGTATTATATGGATTGTTACAAATCAAATTTATAGCAAATAATATTTATTAATTTTAAAAAATAAAATAATATTTTAATAATTCACAAAAATATTTAATATTATTTTTCTTCTAGTTACAATTCATAAATAACATATAAAATTATTATTTTTAATTATAATAAATATGTATCACGCCGCCACGCCGCCGAATTTGTACATCGGCGGCGGCGTGTTGAGCGCCGACACTTTTTTGGCGTCGGCGTGGTCAAAATCACCGGCGGCGGCGCATTTGACCGGCGGCGCACATGTCTAAATATACTTAAAAAATAATTACAGAAAAACGATATAAAAAACTATAAAAGTTTTCATTCACCTAAAAGATTGTTTTGTTTATTTATATTAAAATTCACAAAAGAATTTCTCAAAATATATTTATTTACAAAGAAGATTTAAAATTCTTTTCAAATGAACTATATTTAGCTTAAAATTTTGGACGTGAAAATCAAAATTTATTGTTAAAATGATATTACAATTTAGCAGTATCATTTTTTTTATTAAAAAACATCAAATAAATAAATTCATTTTCATAATATAATATAAATTTCATTTCATAATATATTATATAAATAAAAAAATATTAAATAATATCATGTTTTTTGTTGATAAATATTGATGTGATAATAATAAAATATTTAAATATAAATAAAATAAATCGGGTCGATGGAGTTGGTCGACCAGGTAGACCATGGTTGCTTAGGTTTTGGTTCATTTTTTCGACCAAAAACCCAACCAAAAATCATGCTAATTCGACCCAATCAAGCAATTTAACCAAACTAATTAGCAGATAAAAGTAATTATATATATTTATATAATATATTAAAAAATTCCATTACCCAGTTATCTACATGCTAAATATTTAAAGCTCATTTATCTATATTTTATCATGTTAAACTATTACTTTCTAAATAATAAGATAAGAATATCATTTTTAACAGTATTTGGCTTCTGATTGTTAAATTTAAAATATGATTTGGTAAATTTACCATACAAATATAGTGCATATCAATAAACCTTATCTCCGTAATGCGAAGTTAACAAGTGATAATTGTCCCCGGGAACAAACTTCATGTCGCAAATCGAATAATTTTTCTGGTTAATTCTACAACCCTGTGAACTATCGATACTATCTATAAATTTTGTCTCATCATTGCTATTTATTAAATCATCCATAGTACGATTATAGTTTTTTGGGAAAATATCAAAACTTATTTTTACACTAAGAGTCAACATTTGCTTAGTTTTAACGATTTTGGTGCTATCTTGAGCAGTTTTGACGTCTACGATTTCAATAGAACCTTTCCTAGTACCACTAATATATTATTTAAAAAAAATGAATTAATTGTAAAAATGATATGAAATTTATAAGCATAACAAGTATTTGTAGGGTATTATAAATAATCACAAAGATGGGCATAATTACCTAAAAAAATCAATCAATTTAATTCCAATTACCTATAAAATTTTATATAATAAGTAATAATAAAACAGCAATTAATCCTATCTTAATTAGATAAAAAAAAACATAAAAAATTATGAAAAATTTAATCGTTTAATTTTAACCATTTGGCGGAACATTTAGTCGTGTTTTTTCAGCGGGACAGAAAGTCATTTTGCGAGACGTCTAACAGGTCTACCACCTCTTTAATTATTGCAAAATTTCTAACATATTAATTCTATCTCTTATCTTTATCAATGATTGGATTTAGGATTGAGATAAAACTCTCAATTTGAAAAATTCTCATGATTGGGACTTTAACATTTATAATTTTATTGAAACAACTTCAGATATTTATTTTAAATTATTTTGTTTAGATCTCAGTGTCAGTATATTACAGTCAAAAATTATAAAATAAAAAAATATTAATCGTTCTTCATAGTAAAATTTTTAAATAAATATGATTGAGATGGGCGTAAAGATATTGACCCTTTAATTATTATTGACGCCTGTCTATATACCTCATCCTAATGATTATAATTACAATTCCTTTTAGAATTAATTAGGTTCAAAATGAATTGCAATTAGTTAATACATGGTTTAACTTTGATGTTGATAGAATTTTATTAAGAAAAATGATATTAATCGGTATATAAATCATTGATGAAGATGGGTGTAATAAGAACTGAGTGATATTGTCCTTATTATTAGCCCAGGCGTATGCAGCGGGGGGGCAACCCCCCCCCCCAAAGCCAAAAAATGCAGATGCCGGATAAATTTTTCCAAAATATTATTGTTTATATTAAGTTGTATTTTATAATATTTATTCCATTCTCTTTCTTTTTAAGTATATATTTAATTACATTTATTTATCACATTAATTTACTAAGCTATTTTATCAATTAATTTCGATTTTAAGTTTTCCTTGGCGTAATATTTATCTATTATTTTCAAATTTCTAGTCAAATCATAATTATGGACATAAGAAATTCTTTTAAACATATTGATGATGATGAAAATCCTAGTTATCACAAAAAAGCAAAAAAGTACAAATAATTTTATAACATTTTATAATTAGCCTAGAAGTAAGACATATACTTCTTAGTATTAAAGATACCTATGATAAATATTTTATTTAATAATATATTTATATTCCACCGCTCAAATTTCAATATCTACAAACTTTATGTGCTAATGGAAAGTTAAAATTTTAAAACAGCTATTTCACTAGATGGTTATGGCTAAAATTCTCTATCCGAGACAATGGAGCATATTGCAAGATATGTGTCCTGTTAGTTAAGCTTAACAGTCTTGTTAAGACTCCATTCAACAAGTACAAAGATGCTGGAGAAATATTTGACAATCATGTTAAAAACAATTATCACAAACGCTGTGAACTGATTATTTCTTCAAATTAATTCAAAGTGGGATATGATTCCCATTTTATCTCATATTGACAAAAATAGGATTAAAATAGCAAAAGAAATATATGTAAGATCAAACTAACTATTGAGGCCATTCTATATTGTGGATTGCAGGGCCTAAAATTACGTGACCATTTGGTTTCAGGAAGCTTGAGTTTCAATAATAAAATGATAATAAAGGTAATTTTCGTGGTCTTGTAAACTTTTAAATATTAGGGCATTCTGTAAGAATTATTTCTGAAACTCCTTGTCCAACAAGGAGAATGAAATTGCAAAAAGCTTGTCTAACGAGATGGAGTTTTCGCCATCAAGCTATAAATGGAGTTAGAAGAGTCGATTATTAATGCTCTTATTGAAATATCATAATTGCCAGAAGAAGATATTTCCTCAGAAGCAAGCAAATCATTGGATTCAATACTTATACTTTTTTTCTCATTAGAATGTATATTATAAAACTATTTTATGTATTTTCAAAAACATCACATTGACTTGATTGAGATGATGAGAATGGCGGAGGGCATTTTTTAGAACTCAGGGATAGGGCTAACGATGTTGAAGAATTTCATATTTTATATGTTATTTTTGAGTCAAGAGCAGAATTATATTTAACATTTGTCTCCCCCGATGCAGCAAGGCAAGTTCATCGTCCTAACATTAATATAGGGTCAATAGAAGAGTATTATATAAATGTCTTTATCCCTCTCTTAGATACATTTATAACCCAAATAAATGAACGGTTTTTAATTCATCAGGCAGCACTTAGCAATCTGCAGATATTATTTCCATAAAAGCCTTCCCAACCTTTTTCATATGGTAATAGAAAAAAAATATATTTAGCAAATTTTTTTCATGAAGATGTTAAAGTATTTTATAATTCCTTATTAGCTAATTGTCAACTATGGTATAAAAGATTAACTATGGTTGATATAGTCCCAAAAAATGCTATGGATGCTTTGCATCATTTCAAACATCTTTATAATAATTTTCTCAATGTATTAAAATTATTATATATATTAGGAACTCTTCACATTTCTCTTCTTAAGAAGAATAAAAACATATCTAAGAAGTACAACTTCTGACAGTATATTGAATGGTTTGGCCCTTTTGAATATTCATAGGCATTTGACGCCAAGTACAAATGAGATAATTGAAAAATTAACCCAATCCCAACGAATTGAATTTCACATTATAAATTTATAATATGCATCTTAATAATATTTTTTGTGCGATTTATTTTTTAATGTGTTATATATTTTTTCATGAATACTTTTTAAGTTATTACATCAACATTTAAATTTTTTATACTTTATATAAATTTTAAAGGCTCAAAAAATTTAAATTTCTATTTTTGGGTCATTTATTTTATGGTCATTTATTTTATGGTGATTTATATGCGGTTATATCCACTTAATATTTTATAATTCACATTTATAATAGTTTTTCAACCGCCGGTTATATCCGTTTATTTTATAATTCACATTAATTTAAAATTGTGTATTAGAAATAGTTATTAATCATAATAAATTTATGTTTAATATTTTTAAATAACAATAATTTTATTTAAAAATTTTTTAATTATCCCCCCCCCTCCACTCCAAATTCCTGCGTACCCGCCTGTTTATACCTCATCCTTAATGATTATAATTACTAATTCCTTTTTTAAAAAGTGGAATTAATTATATTTCTAAAAAAATGAATTGTATTACATAGTCTAACTTTGATGTTGATCGAATTTTATTAAGAATAACAGATGAATGAGAAAAAAAAATATTTATGTTATTTTAATCGGTATATAAAGCATTCCATTTTTTGTTCCTCCCTTAATTCTTATATACTTTCAAAAATCCACCCAAAACCTTAGTGATTTGGGAATCTATATCTACTTTTAAAAAAATCCATATATATTTAATCTTTTTTTCTTTATAAATTTTTTTTATTTCTCATCTCTCTTTCTTTCTTTCTACCAAGCATGTTTAAAGAAAAAATTATTTAAAAAACGCAATATAATAAAATGTTCCGTATTTATTTTTGGGAAATTTCTAAAAACGCTTTTACAGCAACAAAAGGCATCCATCCTCCGAGAATGTTGAAGACAAAACGTCGCTTAGTAATTCCTCGTTGGATTCCATACTAATTCTTTGATGCTTAGATAAAAGTGAGCATTGGTCCCTCGCGGATAAAGTTAAGAGGTCTAGGAAATGAATTTGGTCTCTACAAACGCATGCTAAAATGGGCTTAACCGGGTTTATGCAAAAGGTGTCTATGGACTCTTATAAAATAGAAAAATAGGAAAGATAAAAGGAGGTAGGATTTTTATGAACTTGAGTAAAGAAAAGGTGAAACTTGTGATTAAATGAATACTGGTTTATGCGAGAGTCAAGTGAAGAGGAGGGGGGGGGCCACGCAAACATTTAAAATATCCAATAATGTTGGGGGGGTAGAGTGAAAAGAGGTAGAAATAGAAAGAAGAGCTTTCGATTTTCTGACTGCAGTAAGATCACATAAATAGTAAGCAGAAGATGACTTATTGTGGGGATGGGGGGGGGGGGGCGGGGATAAATAAATTATAACAAATTATGGAAAAGTGGAGAAAATGTGTATAAGAATCGAGATAAGATAACAAGATAATATGGGTATAATAAAAAAATATCCTAGAAAAACTATGAAATTTATGTATTATAGTACTCATCCGTTTGGTTATCACATAAGGAGCGTTTAGATGCCAATCGGAACAAAGTATAGCTGGGTGAAAATTGTCGATTGGATCGCTTCTTTCACTCAAAATAGAGGGATCGCTAAAATTATCTAGATTATTCTCCGCCTGCATATTCCCCGGATATTCCTCGAAGGGGCGATTATTATCAAAACCGTAAGAGGAAACATAAAAACGATAAGGCCTGTGACATATAGGAGGGGTAGCGTAAGCGTAATCGTAAAATCGCAGGTTACTAAATGAGTTAACCACTCTAAGAGTTTGAGGCCCATCTCTTTAAAAAAATAGTTTTAAAAAGAAATTCGATATAATTCGCTACAAAATAAAATGACCATCTAGTTAAAATTAAATAAACTTTATGTATAATAAATATTTTTCTAAAATATCCAATAAAGGCTCCAAACACATCAAAAAATTAAATTCTCAAATTTTGAAACTTTAACGAAATAAAATAAATAAGCTATTTTAAATATAAATTCTAGAAAAATTCATAAATTTAACATACGATTTCATTATAACTTTAAAATTTGCGAAAGTTTTGAAACTTTTGGATTTTTTAATATGGTTTTGGACACAGCCTAAAATAAATTTTTTAAAGATTTTTCCTTTAATGTGAGGGCATCTCTAAGAATTATATTATGATCACAACTCAATTTTACTCAAAATGGGTAAGAAATAAACGATATAATAATCGGGTAATGATATATAGCGTTGGTCGTCGTATAGTAATTTTTTAAATAACGACCAAATTTTACTAAAATGCAATATGACTAATTAATTATTTAATATTATTGATGACAAGCGGAACCCTGCGATACCGATCGTCTATATATCATCCCCCAACCACCTAGTTGGCCACATACAAAAATCTATTCCTTTTTGGATTCGAACTCAGAATTATCGGATTAGTGATAGTCGCACATATCGAATAGTCCAAAGGCGAGATGCTACTTGAAAACAAAAAATTTTTTTCCTATAAGGATAAAATTAGGATGCTATCTAATATTTTAGTAATATAGATAAAAAATATTCATAGCGTTCAACGCTATATATCATTACTTACAATTATTAAGGGTTGAATTGTTATTTAAAATTAAAATAATTTTCCGATTCAAATTTAATTGTAAAAATAAAAAGGAAAATTAATAACGAAATCTTATAATTTGCATCCATTTAATAAATTTAAATTTAAATGGGAATTTACATTCCGTATGGGAATATGTTATTGTACGAATCTACGAATCCTTCTTCGTCGATCAATGAGGACAGAGTATTGTCCAATTTTTGATATTTTTCAGAAATATTCATACCAAATGCTCTACTCGTAGCTTATAATCATAATAAAATAAATTTGATTGCTAAATTTAAAAGTCATAAATTTGTGATTGATAATTAATAATAATAATAATAATAACGAATTCTTTATAATTAATAAAATAGAGCATATAAATTTGGAATTTCAAATAACTATACCACCATTTGGGTGAATAATTTGACAAAAATTTAAAAAATTTAAAACTTACAGATAATGTAATCTTTAAGGGGTGAGAGATAAAGATCAGATATATTAGTACGTTTCTGAAAGATTTCTGCAGATTTTAGTCGGACGAAGGATTTTGGATATTCTACTATATTTTGAAATCGAGTTTTGATCAAATTCATGTCATTAAATGGTATCATTTGGATTTGTCTTTTTAACAGATGAACTTCGAATGATAATAAAAAAATATTCAATATATATTTCCATAAAAACAAATAAAATTATTAAGTATATTCGATTCTTGGATAGGGAAGACCGGGATAAAACAATCGGTATTTTACAATTTTTACCAAAACAAAAACAAATTATAAACTTATATGTAGTCCAATCTCTCATCTACAAAATAAAAAAAGGTCTAGCTTCTACCTAAAATACTTTAAAAGTTATAAGTTATGTGAAGTGTGCCATTTTTTACCGTACCCAGGGTACAAATTAACCGACTGTGCAAAGGAGCTGTCTTACCAAGAAGGTTCTTAATTAACTTATTGAAAACTGAGTTTTGTCAATATTTACTCCTAGAAACGAAACAGTTCTTGTAATAATTTCATTTCGCCAGTTTTGTTTTGAAATCTGCCCTCTGTAAGCTATCTAAAATTGCTCAAAGATTGATGAGATACTCATGACATGATCAATATAAACCCCAGTCATTAGACAGTATATCTCCTAAAATGGTTGGTGTGCAATATAACCCAAACGACATCCTTTGATAACAAAGTATCATTTGTGTGTTGTAATATTAAAATTATATTATGATTTTTTACCAACTTCCATTTACAAATATGAATTTTTTAGATCAATAATGGTATATTTAATTCTACCCTGAATTTTCTCGAGAAGATCATCCAGAGTTGGAATGATTATGCTTGTACAAAATAAATGGATTAAGAGTGACCTTAAAATCAGCACAAATCTTAATTTCCCCATTGGATTTGTGTACATTCACTATGAGTCTATTAAAATATAATCGTAGTCAAGTTGGTAGGCTCAAAAATCCCAACAGACACTAGTCAATTTAATTCAAGTTTAATTGGTTGGTCAAGAGTAAATGGTACTCTCCTTGCAGAGAAAGTGATGGGGCCAGCAGAATTGTCCAATTTTAAATATAATACTATTTTGCGGTAATAGGAAAAAAAAACCCCGGAAAAAACCCCATGGAAAACTCCAGAAACTTGGAACGTGAATGAGAGCACTCTATCCGACGAAGAACGCACAAATAATCAATGCGAAGGTGGGAATCATCGTTTTTCTAACCTGGGAACAAGCACCCATCAATCTGGGTATTGATTAAAAAAATGAAATGCGAGGTGGCTGCCGATGAAACCAAACTTGAACGATGGCGTGTATGCAGTTGGACACCGAAAACAAAATCGCAGAGTTTCAATACACAGATTCGGTTAAAGAAACTTTGCGAGGAATACCGTGATGGGGTGCGTCCAGATTTTATGAGGGCGATTTCCTTCAATATACGATGTCAACCGATATAATTATTATTGAAAAATTTTAAATTTGTATATACATAATAATGATTTTTTAATAAAATAAACAGATCTTATTGCAAATTTTATCAAATTTAGTCTACTTAATATAGTAATTAAGAATGGATATTGTATTTATTATAGCAAATAATTTTTACGAAAATAAGTAATACATGGGTTATTTTACTGATGTTTTTTGTCCCAGTACCAATTTGAACATAAGCATTTTTTTTATGGAGGGTATATGAGATCTACAATATTTTTTTTCTAAAATATTAATTTGTCTATACCTTATTAAATCCAAATAAAAATATACCGAAAAAAAATTTGGGGTTTTTTTTTCTTGGGTGTATTTTTTCCTAGGGTTTTTTTTCCGGGATTCCTATTTTGCATATAATGCTATTTTAGAAGGATTATTCAGTTTTGCAAATTTAATTAATGGTTGAAATAGGCATAGATTAAATTTAATATTTTGAAAACTTTATTATATTTAAAATCATTAATTTTTTCATTATGAGATATATTTGAAAAAATATCAAGTTTGCTTTATTTTATTAAATATTATATGCCTTAATAATAGTGTCATGTTTTATAATAATCTATATAACTATACAATTAATTATATTTGCAGTATGTGATGTGCTGCTACAATATAGTTATGTTTGTAAGTAAAAATTGATAGTGGTACTATAAAAATGGACTTGCAAAAAGTATACATCTAGGTATTTATATTATATACTATTTTTAAATCTTTTTTATAAGTAATGAGTATTTATATACAAAAACATTTTGTATTTATATTCAAATACTTTTTGCATTTTTTGAATATTTACATAACATGCAATCAAAATAATTTAATTTTTTTAAAAATCTGTAGAAAAGTACTTGGTTAAAATATTTTGCTCATGTCTGAGCATTCATATATGGCACCAGCAATGTGTATAATCAGCAATACCAGTCATTCCATGTGGTAAATTAAAAATAGCTAAAATGCTTATGACCAAATTGCTTTAAATTCATAAAATAGGTGTATTTTAGGTATACTGTCATATATGTATTCAGGCAATTCAAATCTACAAATTTAAAAATGCACTTCATTAATTATTTTTAAATCATTTACTTAGCATATTTTAAAAAAAAGTATGAGTTGTGTATTTCAGTATGAGTATAATACCCACTAGAAATCTGCAATGGGCAAGTTTCTAGAGCCCCTGCCCCCCATTCAAGCGATAAAAAAGATTTTAAATATTGGAGACAGGTGAGCTAACAGGTTAAAAAATATTTTTAAAACATTGGGTGGGTGAATTTGAAATATTTTTGTGGCAAAATCGCACAACAGACTTCTATTTAAAAAAAATTTTATTTCATAATATTGCATGTTTTATAAGAGTAAAAATTACATACAATAAATAATGAGCCCAGCTAACAAATAAAATAATTTCTAAACCTTGGGCAGGTAGGTGAGTTAAACAAAATTTTTAGATAAATGGACAGGTAGGTAAATTTCAAGATAATCACAGGAAAGCAGGTTAATAAAAATTTTAAACTATATGTGGCAGGTAAAAGCTGCCTTTGTAGACCTTTAATACCTACTCCATATTTACTTCTAAAAAAATACACATGTTGCCTGATTATGCATATTACTAGTAAAAATATTGCTATATTTAAATACACAAGATAAATTTCCAATTTACTCAATATGTTGGCTGTAAATTTGTTGAATATCAAGGCATTAAGATTTTCAGAATGTTGTTTTGATTGTTTCATTTGATTAACTAAACATTTTGGAATTGGGTTAAAGTTATTATGACCTGCTTGAATTTTATAATGTTTCTTAGTTTTTGGATCATAATAAAATCCTGGAATATCTGTAATATGATTTTCCCCTTTAAAAAAATATAGATATATCATATTTGTTAATAAAAAAAATTAAAATTAGGGTAAATAAAATATATATATATAAAAAAAATATTACAAGTATCTTCTGACATATGGCACACGATATTTGGACTGAACTCTAAAAGGTGTAATAAATCAAACGATAATAATAACCTTCAGGCCCGGCCCCTTTTCCCGCAGGGCCGTATTTTAATTTGTTTGAATATACGCGAGCCGGGCTTAGACTAAATATCTTTTTGTAAATATACCCAGACCGGGCCTTATTTTTTTAAGTCAAATATAAAACTTTTTTAAAAAAACTTTGAATCCGGGGTGCAAATGTCGACCCCTACACCTTCTGAGCGATGGAAAGCAGAATACCCCCTTAAAAAGTACCTCACCCCCCTTCAAAAAAATGGTTAATTATTTTATGGCACGAAATTTCAAAAGTAATTTTTATTGCATAAATCTTAAATATATAATATAAATAAAATGTAAAAAAATTTATATTTTAAAAATATTATTTTTAAATAATTTAGACAAATTAGGGGAAGAGAAAGCGAAAGAGTTTATAATTTTATCAATATTTAATTGTTAAATAAATTATTTTCCATTGATAAAGTGGTTAAATTATTAAGAAATGGATCTTTCATGGTACAGTCAAAACCGTTTAATTGCGAAAGCTTGGGACCGAAATATTTAAAAATTTCGCAATTATCCGATATTTCGAATTATACGATTAAAATTCAACAATTTATTTATTAAAAATCAGTTTGTGTTTTTTATAAAGATATTTATCATCTATATATATTTTAATCAAATAAGCCATCAAACTTTGCAATAAATACAATTTTTAATTAATGTAACCAACTATATATTTTAATTTGAATAAGTTATGTAACGAATAAAAAAACTAAATTTTAAAAATTTATCTTATTTGTTGAAACATATGATCATAGCTTTTTTTTCTTCCCACCAATAATCCTATATTTTTATCGTCAATTCATCAAGTTATTATTTTATAAAAAGTATTCAATTAATTTAGATCAATCAAATAATATTAAAATATCTGAAGCACTTGAAAGTAATGTGATATATTTTGATATATATACTTTCTCTAGATCTAGACATGATTATAGACAGAAAGGAACAAAGAAAACAAGACTTAATTATAAAAAGATTGTAATTATTTATGTATTAGCATTATAGTTGTTGATAAATTATTTTTTATTGAATAAAATTATAATTAAATTTGTTTACTTGATTTTATCTCATTTTTTATTTAAGATATGTAAGAATTAAAGCAAAAAAAAGCTTTTATGAAAGATAATAACATTTTTTCCTTTACAATACCCTAATATTTATTTCCATTAATTTTAACTACTTTTGTCATTTTACCTTCATTAAATTTACTGAAATATAATTTTACACAAATATATTATCACTTTTTAAATTCTAATTTATTATTAAAGCCAAATTTTAAAATATTTTGCCTAAAAACTGGAAACAATAAGATTAATATAAAAGAATTTAAGTTTATTAAGTGTTTTGTTTTCATTCACATGATATTTGATTTAAAATCCTATGCTTATTCAAATCTTATAAATTCTAATATTATAAATGTAAATGTATTAACAGACCATGCTGGAATGAAAGTTTATTAATGCTTTATAACATAAGATTTTATTTGAACTAATTTTATTATACATGTATCACAATTATTATAAAGTAATATAAGATTTAATAAAAATATTTTGTGATAAGAGTTTGGCTAGACTCTGGTGTAAATAATTCTTTTTCCACTATATTCTCTAGCTTTCTTAGTGAATCTTGATCCCTTAGATGTTCATGAGCATATTCAAGAAAAGTATAATAACCATTAAGAGCCTGATTTTTTGTAATTAAATGATCAGATATCTCTAGGTTCCCTTCGTCATTCTCGGAGCTTTCATAACCTTCTATAAAAAATAAGATTAATTAAAATTTTAAGTAATTAAACCTTCCAACTCTAATCTTATCTGATTACAAATATCCTGATCATCTAAAATTCCATGGCAGCTAGCATCATCATCGTGTAACACATATTCTTCAAATATGGGATCAAATTCATCTTCTTCGTTGTCAGTTAATGCTATTTCATCCTCCGATTCCCAATCAAATGCCATAGACTTATCAAAAAATTTAGCTTCAATAAAACACTTTATGATTGTGGTACTTGTCACCTCACCCCATGCAAATTTTATAAGATAGAGGCTATCATATAGTGTAAATCTTTTATAAAAAGAAATGGTGTCATTTCCTTCCATCAATGTTATCATTTTTCTCATGATACCCTTTCTATAATGACATTTAAAGGATCTAATTGCACCCATGTCCAATGGTTGAATTAATGATGTTGTATTTGCTGGTAAAAAAATTAATTTTATATTGTTAAATGTTAATTTTGTTTTGTGACAAGATGCATTGTCACAAAACAATAAAATTTTCTTCTTTAATGAGGAATCCCATTCTTTAAGAATATCTTCAAAAGTTGAGGTTGTCATCCAGCTGCTTTTATTGGAGTAGTATTTAACTGGTAATTTTTTATTTTTATAGCACCTAGGGTTTTTAAATTTCCCTACAACATATAACTTTTTATCAGATCCATCCCCATTTATGATAAATAGAACTGTGACCTTTTCCTTGTCTGGTTTGAAGCCCAGTGGTTGAGTTCCACTAAATTCCATTGTGCCCTTTGGTAATGCTCGGTAGTATAGTCCTCATCACAATTGTAAATATTACTCCTTTGATAATCTTTATCAGAGATGGGAGTGTATTTCTGCTCCATTCATTTGCATTAATAATATCTGCACTCCCCTTTTCATTGCAAACATTATGAAAATTTATATTCTGTCTTTTCCTAAATCTCTGCAACCAGCTGCTAGTAGTAATGCCTATAATTTATATATATATAATATAAAAACTTATAATTATCTTCATTGAATGTTTGGCTAAAAAACATAGCTTTTTCTAACATCACTAGCCCATTTAGACTGCAATTTTTACTTCGCATTTGTGTAAACCAAACCAATAAAGCTGCTTCTGTCTTTGGGTAACAACTCATTCTAACTCTTTTAGTTGTAGGAGGTTTATTCCTTAGAAATTGTGAGCATAGATTTTCTTTATTCGCTATTATTGTCGAGACGTGGCAATTGTAATTTGATTCTAATTGTGTTTTTGATGTAGTGTTTAATTTATCAATTATTTCTTTTTTATGCTTCAGGGTTAATGTTTGGAATGATTTTTTTACCATTTTTATATTAATTTCTGGCGTGGTAATGAATGAATGAATGAATGGAAAAAGGTTAAATAAAAAAAATGATGAATAATTTTTTTCGATAAATTTTTTTTATTTTTTCACTTATCCGATTAAATTAACGTTATTGTTATATAAATGGGACCTGAAAAATTTTTCAATTATCCGATATTTCGCAATTAACCGATTCGCAATTATAAATGTAATTTAACATTATACCATAGTAGTTATTATCAAAATCGCGGGGTTTTTTCGCATTTAAAAGTTTTTGCACTTAAGCGATATGCAATTAAACGGTTTTGACTGTACTACAACAGGGCCGTAGGTTCAAGCCCACAATATCTGGAAAAAATATCCAAGCATTCAAACTAACCTTTAACATTAAAAAATCTTAATATAGGTTCAAGCCTACAATATCTGGATAAAATATCCAAGCATCCAAGATATTAATATTTAAAAAGATTTTCTCAAGCCCACCTTCCCTAATAATTTTGAAATTCCCAATATAGGTTCAAGAAAAAAGCATCCAAGATCTTAATATTTAAAAGAATTACTCTACCCCACCTTCCCTAATTTTGAAACCAAGCCCAAAATTTATAATTAATGAAGAGGAAATCTCTAATTTACCAATTATTCTACAGGTAAAATATATTACTTTATAAAAATAATAACATAAGACTAACATTTAACATTAAAAAATCCCAATATAATTTTGAAAAAAATTATACTTGATAAATAAGAGAATGTTCTATTTTGTAGGTCCTCGCTATCCCTAGTGCGTTTCTTTTTTTGATTGATCTGCCATCTTTTTCTTTTTATTAATGATGGATAAATCACCACCTGTACAATCATTAACTGAGGTTAGGACATGGCTTGTTACCTAAAATAAAAACAAAATAAATAAAAAAAATAAATGCATTGAACCTGATGAGGAGTCAATATACCACCTGTAAAATCATTAAGTGAGGTTGGGACATGGTTTGTTATCTAAAATAAATACAAAAGAATAAATAAAAAATATATTAATGTATTAAACCTGAAGAGGAGTCAATATTAGATTAACCTCTCTAGAACTAAAATGAAAAGTATAACCTTTTTAGTATATATAGATGAATAACTTTATTTTGCATTATGTCTAAAAATATTTTCTATAAAAAGAATAAAATAACATCAATAAAAAAATAAAATAAGTACGTACCGATGACATGACGTAGCGATGACATGACGTCACGATGACGTAGTGAGGACATCGGAAAATTATAATAAAGATATTTTATTTTACCTTCAAACTAGTGTATTTTATGCTGCACTTTATTTGATTATTATCTATATTATAATTTTCCGATGTCCTCACTACGTCATCGCTACGTCATGTCATCGCTATGTCATGTCATCGCTACGTCATGTCATCGCTACGTCATATCATCGCTACGTCATGTCATCGCTACGTCATGTCATCGCGACGTCATGTCATCGGTACGTACTTATTTTTATTTTTTTTAGTTTATTTTTTTTTTATTTTTTTTATAGAAAATATTTTTAGACATGAAGCCCAATAAAATACAACTCAAAATAAAGTTAGCCTTATATATATTTTTTTTATACTCTTTTATATTATAGAATACATTAATTTTAGCTTCTGATAATGTCCCAACTATTTCTAGGGAGTTGAACCTAATATTGGCTCCTCTTCAGGTTCATTGCATTTATATTCTTTATATTATTCTTTGTTTTTTATTTGGATAACAAGCCCTGTCTTACCCATATTTAATGATTGTACAGGTGGTATATTGACTCCTCATCAAGTTCAATGTATTTATTTTTTTTATTTATTCTTTTGTTTCTATTTTAGATAACAAGCCATGTCCTAACCTCAGTTAATGATTGTAGTACAGGCGGTGATTCCGTCATTAATAAAAGAAAAAGATGGCAGATCA